AAGTGTCTTGCGCAGCTAAGGCTATGCTTGTTCCTTCCTTTATGTGTGGCCGTCGCTGAGGGCGTCCTCACTTCAAAACTTCTTCTTCTTCTTCATCTACTCAGATCTGCTTCTCAGTGCGGCTTCCAATGTGAAGGCTTGGGGGAGTCGAACATCTTGGCGGCTTAGAAAGGTCAAAGGCGCGGTCCTGAGGGTTCGCGGTCCAGGAGATGGTCAACCCCATGAAGTGGTCTTAGGGCAACTTGGGCAACTTGGGCTTAGGCATCAATACGATGTGGGTCTACGAGCTTTACCACACACAGCGATCGTCAGGACGAAGCCACTGCCGTCCACTTCTTAAACCATTTGGAAACTCAGAACCTGCATCCCCATCCTTCCCCAGAGTTCAGATATTGTTACAGCCATTCAAGGAATTCAAGGGAACAGTCTGGGCGGTGTGTGGCCTGGGGATGCAAGCCTCGGATGTCCTACAGAGACTCAGATAAACAACCGCCTAAAGGCACTGAACCCTACAGCCTAAACCCGAAGCAAAGAGCATTCACGACAGGCCATGCCTGGCTGCAGCAGCGGACCTTTTCAATGAGGTGATGCGAGCTTCAAGATTCGCTTACTCGTAGCTGCACGGCGCCACTTTATGTTTAGCATGTAGAGGTCTAGAATTCCATGAGGGTTTAGAGTTTAGAATTTAGTGTTGGGTTTAAGCTGGCCTCTCAGCGTGGAGGGATGGAGGAATCAGAGCAGAACAGCTCTGAAGACCTTCTGCATCCGAAGCCCTGAACTATCCCAAGTTGTGGGCATCCTTGTTTGTCACGGGCTTGCTTGCAACTGTCTGAGGAGCCCTGCTTCCATCCAGGAACCCAAGCCCGGCCTTGCTCACCACCGCTATGCACAAGTTCTCATCGTCCTCCTCCGCCTTGCGGACGGGTCCTCAGAGCCGACAGGGGGGGAGGGGGGAGGCGAACGGTCTATGATACGGTCTATGATGATATTGCCTTTTGGTATGGATGCCTCTGGGGCCAGGAACCCGTCCAAGCCACTCTAGAACTCTACCCGTCGACCCACATGGCTTGAGTGTCAGTGTGGCTTGGACGGGTTCCGTTCTTGCCTCGTTACCGCTAATCTCACCCATCTCAGAGTGTTAAGGGTCCACTGCTGCCGAAGTCACTTGTCAGGAGGTCCAGGACCTTAGTCGCGTTTTGATGATGGGCTTCGGGTGATATGGAAGAAGCCTGTGAGTTCACAAAGTGCAGGTCGGGTGAATCACCCTGATGCAGGGGCTCCGGCAATGCGCAGCGGACGGAAAATGAACACTAAGAACGAGCCATACCTTGCAGGCTGCGGCTTGTTTTAACCCACAGTTGCCAACGCAAAGACGTTGGGTAATAGGATTCACGGGCCCATTGAACCTTCCGGGGCTTAGAGCCTTAGGGGGGAAGGGGTCTGAAATGACCGGAAAGCTTCTGCAGTGACTTGTCACGACCTGGAACCTGAACGCCCTGACTCCCAAATACTCGACCCTAAGCCCTGACACCCGTGGGCCCCCCCACGCGAGTGAACCGATGTGGTACCTGGCCTTGGGATTTGCGAGAGGGCTTGTTTGCAGGACATTGGGCCACAGGTTGAACATGAGGAGGATGCTGATTTCTACCGTTCAAAGGGTAGCCATGAAACAGGGAAACGGTCCGGGCCCGGAGCAATTGTGAAGTAGGCTTCGCAGAGGAGGTTCGACCTGATCTGCGAGAGAATCTTCACTCGCCCCTCAGCAGAACATGGTACACTAAGATCCCGGAAGCCTGCTGGACAGCATTGCCTTAAACAGCTATAATGACTCCGATGACTCAGTTCTGCCCGGCAAGTCACTGCATTACGCCCACTATTGGCATCCCAAGATCTGGCGGTGGAGGGACCTGGTAGAAGGACCCCTCAAGCCCTTACACCTTGCATGCAGAGAAGTCCGAAGCCTGATCATGATCCAAATTTGAATTCTTCTTGAGGGGTTACTGTATGCCACATGCCATGAGCTTCCTGACACGAGGGGCCGTTGATTTTTGAGGATGGCATGAGCTTGCCACCCGCATGGCAGTAGTTTCGGGAGCAGGCTCCAACATAGTGAGACCGCAGCAGCCGAGCCGAGCCTACCCAGCGACTAAAGACGCGCCATGTGCCTGAAACCTCCTCTGTACTCCATCCAGTCACCTCCATTGGCTTGACAGCTAGATCCGAAAGTGTTCCTTTGCAGTTCCTGGAGCCGCTTTGAAAATGAGTATTCGTCGTTCTTATTGCCCCGAACGAAAGGAACATGTTCAGTAGAAGCCTCTGCAATTACAGCCGTCTAGTTTAGGGCATCAAAGCATCTCCTAGCTAGGTTGGACAGGCAATGAACAAGAAGAAACGACTACAGTGACTACAGGGCCTCTTGCAACCTGTGCGAACTCGAAACCTTGGGCTCGGGCCCTTCGAACTCTTTTTCCTTAGACGTCCAACAACACAGGGCTGCCGGCAAGCATTCTCACAACACAGTGAAGTGTGCGGGATCATCCTTGGCCAAGGATTCTGAGGAGAGAGGTGACCGGGACGTGCTCATCGAGCGCTAGGCCGAGTCCAGGCCGAATCGGCCAAAAGAAGCAGCGAGCCCCCTAGAGGGTGTGCACCACTCGCCTCAACGTCCTCAATCACGCACCTGGAAATCCGCCTGCAAACCAGCCCTGGGAGCATCTGTCCTCATGTCCGTTCTCTCCTTTGTCTGAAGCGCAAGCCCCCGTGACGGCGGACTACATAAGACCCTGGACATCTCCTGATGCAGGCAAGTGTGCTCCAAGAATGGCCACACATATTGACCAGAACTGCAGTAGGCGGATTGACCTCTACAAAGGGGCCCCCTGCATCAACTCTCTCGTGAAGATGCCACTGAAAGCATCACTTGACCTGCGCTGCTTCTGTTTGCCACCTCGCCCTCTCAGCACCGCGCATCCGAGGGAGAGTAGTACCACGTCTCTGTCATGTAGGCATACACAAAGCATGACCTTGGAGACTCTGTGGATTCAGGCTGGTTTCGAACAGCAGCATACTGTAGCAAGATGTAGTCAGGGGATAGTCGTACAGCATCTAGGCATCATGGACTTGAACCTTGCGCTGGGGACACCGAGGCCCGGTGACAGTTCACAGCACCTGAAACGTCCTTTCTTTTCCATCGCCGGACTCTGGGCATCGTCGTCCTCACCCTGTTTTGCTCAATCCTGAGTCTTGTGCCTGGAAGGGCCAAGCCATGTACAAGATCCGGTCCTTCAGCTACGGGGAGAAGGAGCTCAGGATGAATGAGTGGGGGCCCTGCGCAGACCACGCTGAAATTGCTTCGGATCCGCGCCCCTCAATACCTGGGCCTACAGGTATTTGGGGCAGAGGGGGTAGTTCGTGGAAAGTATAGAATCCCATGATTACCTGGATCCGGGTTAGATGCGAACAGCTGCATGGCCCTTAGCAACCGATAACAATCTGAGTAGCAGACCTACAGTCCTCAGACGAGGGTTTCCGAAATTTCTGTGCCTGGCGTGTAACACGCGCTCTCTGTCGCGGAACAATATCCTCACCCCCCAATATTTCTGCCCCAGGCCCATCATTTCAGAAACGCCCCAAGTCACGTCGCCAAGTCGGTGCCATTCGGCCAAACGATGGCGCAAGATTCGCTGCGGAGCTTGCGGAAGAGCTGCGCTGTTCTCAGACTCAACGAGGGTCGGTCCCCAGCATGCTTCTTGCAAAGGGCGCCTGGTCAAACAAAAACCAGCCAGGACCATGTGGCAGCCTGCTGTTACTCAACTTCCAGAACTCCAATGCGCCATACACTTCTCTTGCTCCGATGTCAAACCGACATCGGACATCCCAGCCCTAACAGATACACACACACACACACACACACACACACACACACACATATATATATATATATATATATAATATACACACATATTACATACTCCTTACATATGTTTCAGTGGTACCTAATGCACTAGAATCCGCAAGCCCGACCCAACCTGCTGAGCTGAAGGGGGCCGCTCTCAATCGAGGCTCTTTGACTGCATTTCATAGGCGTTGGGACATGTTGGGACTGAAGATACTTCACTGGGTCATGAAAGGGTCTGAGATCACTTGGGACGTCCTCCTGGCATGCATAAATAACGAGAGGGATCTGCCTTGTGGCATCCCTCGTCTTGGAACTGGAAGGGAGCCGGATTGCATTTAAGGGTCTAGGGTTCAGGGTTTAGGGTTGAGAGATTCCTCAGAAGAATGAGCCTGCGATACCCTCAGCACGAGCTGTTATGTAGTGAATGAGTGAACAAAGATGAGGGAGAACAACCAGATCAGAATGAGACGGTTGTAGCCCCTGAAAGAAGTCAAGAAGGCACTGGAACAAAGTTTCATGCGTCTACAGGCATCTTCGAGTTGAGATTTGATGAACGAGTCTTCTAACCAGGAAAGGGGGAAACAAACCAATGCCTGATTCGCTGGATATGAATTGGAGTAAATGTTCACCCTTGCGGTCTTCGGAATTCGCTCTTCTTCAACAATCTAGAAGCGCGATATTCAGCACCTGTATGTCGTTCGTGCAATGCTTATTGGTATGCACGACACTGGATTCTGCAAGTAACTGTTTGTGCATGGTGATAGAATCTGATAGAAGAACCTGTCAAACTTGCAAACCCCAATTCAATCTGACACCTTTTTGCCCCAAAGGCCCACTATCCAGGCTCGACTCAAACTCCCTCGGTCGAACCACTTCAGCCATGAACTTAACCTCCATAGAATATCGGGGTATGGCACGTCTTTCGATAAGCCGGCTCCCTCCCATCACACACGTTCAGCATTAACTGACCAACGAGTCAAAGAAGCCGCAAACCAGCTTCTTGGAAAAAGAGAGGCGGCGCTCGGGAAGAAGGGAGCTACCTATTGACAAAAGTCGAAAGCTTCGCTAAGCTGTGCTGAGCTGTGCTGAGCTACATGTTCCCTTAATCCTCGATACTCATCTTCTGCCATCGTTCGAGGTCTTCTGGCAAGACGGCCCCCTGGCTCAGCGGAGTTAGGAGTTTGCCGATGTCCTTGCCTCGGGTTCCACAGCTCATCAGCAAAGCATGTGGCGACTTCTTTGAAAGCCTCATATTAGAAGCGTGGATGGCCAACCTTTCCGGGAGAACAAGGCCGTGTCGGGAAACCCTGCAAAGCTGGTACAGAACGATTCTTGTTGCCACCTGCTGAGCTGACTGTCAGACGCACGCGAGTTTTGAAGGTCAAGGGCTCAGCTGTATTGAATCAATCCGGTTGATGATTGATTGCTTTGGACATCTTGTCGGGACTTACTCTAGATTTGGGTTTCCTGGACAGAGTGTCAACACTATGGGGTTCTGTAGACTAGAAGGGCCTAGGTCGATGTGGGCGAACGGCGCACATGGGCGCCGCACCCGCTCCGGATCATGGGTTATTCCTTGAGTCCTGCTCGCATTCTGGAAAATCGCACGCTTGCCGTCCTCGAAGCTGTCATCGCTTTTTGGCTAGAAAGCTCTGGTGGCTTTTGGATGTCTGGGATGTGTGTGTGTGTGTGCGCATTGGTTTCAGGTGCTTGGCCGGTCGCCCAGTCTCCCTCACACGCCAAGTAAGATGCAAGACCCATGCCACAACATAAAGCACATGTTGGCATCTGAGGCTTTAAATGCCTCAGGAGTGTGAGATAGTGTGAGCATTTACAACGTCATCAAGGAAAGGCATGCTCTGCATCTTGCTATTGCGGATATTGAAGCGTCATGACGTTCACCGGATTTGGTAGCCCTTGCTGTGAGCATGCGCGGCATTGACCAGTCGCAGGGCTCACAGACTTCGGCTGCACCCATTTGCATTCTCGAAGACGTCGGCGGAAGCAAGGGTCTGGAAAGCATGAAAGCCTGAACCTTTACGAGAAGGTCCATCTTCGTTTGAAGTTTTTTTGATCGCAGTAAAGCTGGCGCACGCTTCGTGCCATCCCCTGGAGCCGGGGCCAGTGTAAGGCCTCTGGCCCTGTGAGTCGCACTTCTACATTGCCTATAAGTCATTCTGTTTTGTACTGCTGCCCAAGGAATAAAGATGAATAAAGGTTTGCTTCAACCTCTCTGACCCTGAACCACTGAACTGTCCAAGCTGTCGAATCTAAAGTCCGGCTCGTTGCTTCCGCCCCAAAAGGTGTCGACAAGCCGCAGCTTTCCTCTGAAACTCAGGAGTTCTCGGTTTGAGAGTCTGGGCATTGGGGATTGTTTTGGGTGATTTCTGCTGCGGTGGGATCGAAAGGGTTTAGGGCTTAGGGCTCTGGGAAGTAGAGGTCCAATGGAATGCTGGGGCAGGAAGAAAACGCGGAGCGATGTTGTTGGGTCGCCGGTGCGGGTTAGACAACTCCTATTGCATCTGGATCTGATTTTGCACTGCGATGGGAGTTCCGCCAAGCTTCATTGCCCTAGATGCGATGCAGCACCAATCAAGACTAGAATCTGACGGAAAGATGGCCGTGCATCTCAATTGCTGATTCTTGCATGCCATGAGGGCAGTAGGCTCAGCAGGTCCTCAACACACACGCTTTACACACCCTTTACAGTAGACCCATGGATTTTTTTCTCTTGCCGCGCCTTAGAGGATGTGTTGGTGCAAACGGTGCAGCCTGTGCCAAGCCAAGTTTCGACACGGCCATCCGCCCTTGCCTGGGCACTGTGGCGCCAGGGGGAAGGAAAGGTCCACCTGCCAAGGAAGCAGGGTTTAGGGGTTAGGGTTTAGGGTTTAGGTTTTCGGGTTTCACATCAACAACTTTGAGGCACCTGGCACCAGCGTTCATCCCACGTATCTGCCGCAAACTCCCAGACCACAACGAGATGAAGTTGATTCTATAAGTATTGCTGCCGGATTAGCGGGGGTGGCTTGGGCATCTTGTCCCCTGTCCAGGCCTTGGGCTTCGGCTGCGGCGACCGCAGGCCTCAGTCTCATGAGTTCATCGGATGCTTTGGGGGGTTGTCGGCAGACTAACTTACGATCTAAACCGAGTGTAGAAACTGTTTCGCACACTCTCGCGCATGGCAGGAAAGGTAAACAGCCATGTTGGCCTGACTTGCGACAAAAGCACTGAGAGCTCTCGTCCAGTGCCGACGACGCCAAAGGAATATTGGGAATCATATGTGAGAACGCCCACCGACACAGCCACACACAGCAGTTGTCACCGTCCAGGGTCTGCTAGGAGTTGTGGTGGTCTCTGAAGCTCAAGCCTCTTTATATCTAGCGCTCAAGATCCTTCTCAGCCTTAACGGCACCTTTGGACACGACGCTCAAAACAGGACTTAGCCACCTTGAGCTAGAAAACCACTGAAATCCCCTGAAGACCCCCTCCAACATCCCGAAGCTTGGGTTTACAAACGCTTGCCCGGTGGCGGCCCTCGGAGATCAGCAGCCAATCTGGAAGCTCTGGCTCGGCGGACTTCCTCACTGTACAGAGTGGGGGGGACTGGGGGACTGGGGGGGACTGGGGGGGACTGGGGAGGGACTGGGAGAAGATGCTTGCGGCCATCTTTCGAGCTTCGGAGTTTGCCCCAAGGGCGTTTCGGTTGAAGTTGGAGCGGGCGCGTGAAAAAGCATTGAAAATTCACAGTCATAATAATCATAACAATAGTAATGATATGAATACGACTAATCATTTGAAGAATATTCATACTATTGACAAAAGGGACAGGACAGGCGGCTGGCTGCGCCAAGAAGTCGTGGTGGAGGCCATCGAAGGTGGCAGGGCGCCCCTGATGATGTGGCTTCTGCACTAAACTAAACACACTTCGCCAGTGGCTTGCACTCCTGTGGAAGGAGAAGTCCTTGGGGGAGTGGGGGAGTCGAGGGTCGCGAAACACGACAACCCGAACATCTCTTGGCGCGACCCCCTTGCCGCCCTTGCCGAAACAACCGGCGCCATCTCGGCCTAATTTTCCCAATGTTGCAGCAACACGTAGCTCCTCCAACAAGCTCAAGCACAAATTCCTCCCACCCGAGCCCAACCCACAGAACTCCACTAGCCGCGTAATTGGTGCCAGTGCGGCATGGACCGAGCTTTGGGAAGGTGCTCATTGAACCTGGCTGCTTGGAGGGCTGCTTGGATTGAAGTCCAGGGCTTAGGGTTTGCCTGATGGAATTTGGGGGTTGGCAGTTGTACGTAGGACGACCAGACAGGTAGTCTGTCTTCCTTCCTTCCCTCCTTCCTTCCCTCCTTCCTTCCTTCCCTACTTCCTTCCTTCCTTCCCTACTTCCTTCCTTCCTTACTTCCTTCCTTCCTTCCGGCCTTCCTTCCTTCCTTCCTTCCGTCCTTTCTTCCTTCCTTCCTGAAGCCCGCCATTGGCGGCGCTTGTCACGCGATCCAGTCGCTGTGAAGCATGTCCTCGTGCTGTCTTGCTTCCTTCCTAATCCGAAGGGCTCTCTCTCGGTGCCACCTGTCCACCGCGCACGGGCACCGGCACCACTGTGCATGCCACTTAAACAAACAAGTACGTACCAGCAATACCGTAACGGCGAAGCTGCATAAGCTACATGACCTCACGCCCGCACGTGACCAATGCCTCTGGCCAATCCCTCTTGCTTCATTCTTCAATTGAGAAGCTGTCTTGCACAAGCGCAGGTATCTACCAAACAATGCCCGGATTTATCTGAAGGCGGCACTGCATGTGGCACACAAGGCTTTCCGAAAGGGCAATTCTTGACCCCTTTGGTGCTGCATTGCTTTGGGTTTTGGGTGTCATGTCCCCTTTGGTGCTGCATTGCTCTGGGGGTTTGGGCGTTGTGAAGAGTGGTTTGGGACATCATTGACCCCTTTGGTGCTGGATTGCTTTGGGTTTTGGGTGTTCTGTCGACTGGTTTGGGACATCGAGGCTTAACCCCTTTGGTGCTGCATTGATCTGGGTTTTGGGTGTTATGTCGATTGGTTTGGGACATCGAGGCTTGACCCCGTTGGTACTGCATTGCTTTTGGTTTGGGCCTTGTGAAAACGGGCTCCAGAACGTCGAGGCTTCACCGCTTGCGTGCTGCATTGAATGAATTTCAAAAGTGCGACTCATGCACCCAACTTGCAAAAACATTTGGTGCGTCCAACGCCGGAAGATTTCAATCTCAAGACGACGCAAACATCACTTTCGCAATTCGTTAAGCACATGCAACATTGACCCATTTGCTGATGTAGCAGCGTGCAGTGCAGCGTCACTTGTGCATTTGCGCGATGAGTCCAACAATGCTTCGGAAGTGCTGGCGGCAAGACGTGGAGAAGCGCGTCAACACAAACTGTGCTTCAAGGGTTTACGATGGTATCTTTACACGTTTGCATGTTGATAACCTAATGTTGGTGTATTGCTGAGGTGCATAAAGGCTATCCCCGCGAATACTTGGGCTGTCAGCAACAATTCGGGCACAGCCGCGGAGCGCCAGATCGTAACAAGGCATCAGGGGTACTGACGTCCACAAAGATAAAAACAGGTTACAACGTTGTGACCTGTTGTTGAGCAACGGATTGTCGCTTGTTTCACGGTTGCGCACATGCATGGGACAGTATGTGCTGCTGGGAAATGTCCGTCATTCATATTGTACCATTTCCGGTTTTTGCGGTCCTTCATGTCCCGACAGTTCCGGAAATTTCGTCTTTCATATTCCACCATTTCCGATTTTTTTCCGTCTTTTACGTTCCCTCATTTCCCGAAAGTTCCGTCTTTCATATTCCACCATTTCCGGATTTTCCCGTCCCATTTCCGAAAGTTTCCGTCATTCATATTCCATCATTTCCGGAATTGTCCGTCTTCCTCCCGTTTTGGCCGGCCGCAAAGAGTTTGATCCAGGCCTCTTTTCTTTAGAGACTGAAACCCAACAGTATGTGCTGTTGGGAATTAAGGACTGCAAGGCGCGATTTTGAGCAAGACCCAAAAAGTGAATGCTCTCTCATACCCAGCGATCAACGATGAGACTTGCCTGACCGGATATTCTCCGGCCAAATGAGCCAAACAACCAAACGATTTGCCCTACTGAAACTTACGGTATATTCGCGAAAACATTCTCGAACACGCCAGGGCGCTTCAAGCCACGCGAGAAGATGCTGGTGCCGGCATTCGGGCTGCTGTCCTGAGCCCGCGGCTCTGACCCGCTATCAAATAAAACCCCCCCCCCAAGCCATAAATCTTTTCAAGTCGTCATGAAGGTTTTGAACCAAGGAGGGCAAGGCCCGACGAAATCCTTTGAATGAGCCGATACCCCTCATAGTTTTTGTCCCAAGAAAGTAACGCAGCCCCAATCCTTCGAAAAGCTGAGCCCACTCCAAAGAGCCATGGAACTCCAAACCCTCGTGCAAGCAGCGATTCCCTTAAGCCACCCACCCTGAACCCTACACACTAAACTACTAAACCTCTTGCCCCTCAACCTTTTGAAGCCCTGAACCCCAAACCCTAAGCCCTAAACCCGAAACTCCAAACCCCAACTACTAAACCCTAAAACCTAAACCCGAAACCGGCCCGGGGTCGGGCAGCTCGCCCCGCGCGCGGCCCTCAAAGCGCTTCGTGCGGACGCGGAAGTCGCGAGCCACGGCGTCTGCTCGCCTTTGGGAGGTCAGATTCTTCAAGCCTTAAAAGCAGTACGGTAGGGGGATGTAAGGTTGGGGCACCGGAAAGGGATGGGGCTTTAAGTTGCATTGGGGCTTGCGCTGGGACTAGACTTCGCCCTATTGCCACTTGACTTGCGTCAGGCCCAAGGCCGGGGGGAGGGGGGGGGGGCGGCTGATCTGAGTCAAACATCTCGGCGCCTGTTCAGTTCAACCCACCCCTTCTCGGGCCACGCCTCTGCTGCTGCTTTGTGAGCTTGGCGAAGTTCCTCAGGATTGAAAGCAGAAGCCACAGCACTTCACCGAAGAGCCCTGCAACTGATGCTGCGACATTCGGTGCATGTCTAATGAATAGCCAGAACCAGGCCTCTGCTCTTTCAACCCGTATCGCGTCCACAATTCGTGTCTACAGTCTAGTCTGCCTGCACCCTCGCATCGGCTCGCCACTTGCCGGTATCACAGCATGGGCATTGCCGCAGTCCGCTAAATGCCGAAGCTGCTGCAGCGATAGCCGAAGCCTTGAATCCTCAAAACGACTCCGACCGACTCCAATGACTACAAAATGTGATGCTCTGACGAGACCCCAAGTCTAAGGTGCACCATGCTGTCTAGCCGACGGTGCAAAGCAAGAAAAGGCAATGTGGAGGGGTTCCGGCTGGGCGAACATGCTTCTGACGTTTTGGCCAACCGACCAGGTTGGGGTCTCGAGATCGTTGATGGAATCCCGGTAATGTTTGGGTGGAAAGTGCCAGCGAAGTCCGGTTTTTCTGGGGGGGGGGAGGGGGGGGGGCGACCACTCCATCAAAACCGCTCCCACAGGCAGGCCTGGAAGTTGGATTTAAGGCTCTCGACTCTCACGCTCGCACGACGCAGGCAGCCTTCGTCTGATTGAGGCTTGAGGCCCTAAAAACCCGCAAAGCTTAGAGTTTTGGGGGTTAGGGTCGTCATGTTCCCGCTTATACTAACAGTCCTTAATAGGGATTATGGTACGCCCTATTATCATCCCTATTGAGGACTAGTATGAGGGAGAACATCCCAAGTTTAGGGTATCATTCAGCCCAGACACCCCGAGATCGTCTTCATGCCCACGTCGATACGTTGAGGTGGGCTTGTCGGTATCTCGGGAGCATTTAGGCTCGGTCAATTGAGCCCTTCATGTGCTGAAGCTCCACGAAAGGTGTTGGGGGTATGACTGCACACAAGGACAATGGCATGACTTGCCTAGCCAAATTTCGCGCACTTAGCCCAGCAAGCCGATTCTGCTTTCAAGTTGGTGCCTCCGCTCCGGAAATCCAAGCTGTCTCGGCCCAGGTTAAGAACTTCGTCCGGTCCACCTGAGCTTCGTGGGCGATGCATGCGACGCTGATTATATACATACATTGTATATAGATAGATAGATAGATAGATGCAGATGTAGATCAGACAACCCACCTGTAAAGCCCTGTCATCTATGATCTGTACTCTTTAACTTAGGCTCTATAATCTATGTGCATAAATGTATGCCATAACGTACATATACATATATACAGAGAAATATTTGACATATTGTACACCCCAACAGCTGCCACAGCCAGGAGTCGTCGAGGAGGTCGAACATGAGGTTGATGTCGCCCTTGTAGCCCATGGCCTGGCAGCGTCCGCCCTGAAACTGGCCGTGCAATCCAGAAAGCGAAGCTTTCTAGACATTACAGAAACATGACCTGCCTTTTGAAGCCTCTAAGTTGGGATGTTCCCCCTTGTGCTAACAATCCTTAACAGGGACTAAAGTACCCCCCATCATAATCCCTCTTAAGGACGGTTAGTATAAGGGGGAACTTCCCAACCTCTAAGACCTAAACCGGCGCCCTGGCCAAGCCTGGCACCCGTAGCGAAAGTCGGCCATCTTCACCCGGTCGTCTCCCCTAAGGTCCATCACCTCGTGCCACGTCGCCTTCCCGAGAGATGAAGGCTGAAGCTATAGATTCATAAATCAAGAGAGAGAGATATATATATATATATATACATAATATATATATATATATATACGTGTATACACATCTCTATGTGTGTATATATATATATATATATATATGCACATAGTATCATGTAAAATAGTAATGAACGACATATAGTGTAAAAAAGGCACATACGATATGCAACCCTTAACCTGTCATATCTGTTCTATATATATATATGCACAATACAATCTAAAGATACAACTAATTCACTGGTGAGGCCGGAAGTTGACCTCCGCAAGGTAGGTATCGGGGGAACACACACGCACCACATCTTTAAGTTTAAGCCTTAAAGCCTTAAAGTTTAAGGGCATGCCATGTACATCGATCGGGGTTCTGGAGCGCGACATACAAGCGCTGCGCACAATTTCGGGTGGGCTTAGCGACCATTAGCGGCTCTTCGATACATGTAAAGTAACACCGCTCGAATCATGCTAAGTTTCAAAGGAGCCCTGCTGTTGGACAAAGCCTACCAGCGGCTTTCAACAATGACACGCGACGTCCCCAGGCCTCCCAGGAGCCATAACTGGCTTCTGCACCTGCAATGGGGGGCCAGCCCATGCAAGAATTCATCGGATGGCCTCATCTATTCTGACCCGGTTTCCCCCTATCATTGCAAAGTCCGGGGTTCAAGGTCCGTTGGAGGGCTGAGTCTTGACTGGTGGATACAGCCTGCCCACACCCAGTTCCGACATTGAAAAAGCCTTCCTAACGCCTTCAGAGATGGCGTTTAACAACTTGTTTCCCCGTAGGATCAATCTTCAGGCACGGCAAAAAACTTGAAAACTTCTCAAGCTGTGCATCCCAAGAAGGCTCGACAAACGGTCAGAACACTCTCCCGCCATGACATCAGTGTACAACAATGGCCAAGACACATTCGTGAAAGTCGTGGAGCAGTTCCTGAGAAGGCTACGCGGGAGGTTTCTGTCTGGAGTGCTATGAATGCCTGGAACCCTCCAGGCACCCAACCCATCCCTCCTTCCTTGGTGGTTCTTAGTCAAGGTACCCTTTTTTTTATCATCCCTTGCCATATTCTACCTAGATATATTCAGAACTAGCCAACTTCTGCTTCTTCTCTGACACACCTGGTCTGGCCGCCCAAGGTTCGGCGGTACCGAGGTCAAGCTCCCAGAGGCTCACCTTGGCAAGGACCAGGTGCACCAGTGCGCAGTGTGGGACTCTTGTTCTTGCTCAAGGCGTAGTGGAAGTACAGAATCGAAGGCTCTAAGGCTCTAAGGCTCTAAGGCTCCAAGGCTCTTATAAGGCTCTAAGGCCCATGCGACCCCATTGCCGTTCTCATCCAGCTGGTGCCACAGTTCACGCGCGTTCCCGGCGAACCCAACATCCTTGACTGCCAGCTTGAACCTGCAGCTGTGAAAGGTTCAGCTTCATGCAGGCTTGTGCTGGACCGTGCCGTGCAACAGGGCTACAACTTGCGTTTGCGCTTTGGGCTTGGGACTACTGCAAGTGGGCCTTCCTTACTGCAGCGAAGCGAGCAGCGAGGACAACAACCACGACAAACACCAAACACCACAACCCAACCACAACCACAATCACAACCGCAACAGCGACCACCTCCACAACCACCACCACGACCACCACCACAACAACCACCACAACCACAACTGGCAACAACCGACGACAACAACCGACAACAACGTTGCATTCATTGCAAGGGAGATCGGGGAGGCTTGGGGGGGGGGGGGGGGGGCAAACACCAGCCAAGTCACTCGTTGTAGTCCAGCTGCCCGTTTCTGTCCCTGTCCAGGCCCTGACGCCAGGCGCGGACGTAGTTCTGGTAGGACTTGAGCAGGAGCATCTGCGGCGTTCGGTGGCTGGAAAGGACAAAGCTATGTACTGAATTATACGGGAACGACAAGCGCTTGAGGCTCAATCGTTGGCCACTCTTGCGATCTCTTGCGGTGAATCTAGTGGAACACTAGTGGAACACTAGTGGAACACTAGTGGAACACTAGTGGAACACTAGTGTAACACTAGTGGAACACTAGTGGAACACTAGTGGAACACTAGGTAAGGTTTGGTTCTTTTCCCGACTCCTGGTTTAGGGGGAGCCTGAGTGTCCAATATAGGGAAATAGCTCATTGGGTAGCTGGACTAGATTGGGTATATACGGGAATGATATCGGTAAATGGTATTGGTGAGTATCTTTGCTCCCGTTGTAAGGGTTGATAGTGGGAGGCAGGTTGAGAATGCTGACTCGGGCTACACGGCCACCCGCACAAGCCCTTTCCGACAAGCGCAACAAACAAAATCATCAGAGCACTTGTTACTAGTAAACGCCTTGGACCTACCACCCAACTTCAATGCATTGAACTTGAGGTCCGACTCCACATGGCTCCACCATGACTGCCGACAGCGCCTTCTGTGCTTCCACCCTTTTTAGAACCCGTACTGGCCAAAATCTCCAAAATCCTAAGCCCCATGCGTTGTCAAAGGCAACCCTGGAGTGAGAAAGCACAACGGCAGGCCTTGAACTGCCTGCGCCAGTCTTTCTCCTGGAGGACGCGAAAGCTACGCAGTGAGGGTCGGTGAGAAGAAACTCGCGAACCGAGCCCCAAAGATTGGTCGATCCTTGTGCTGTCTGCTGTGCGTTTCTGCATCGTGCAACCCAACAGTGGTAGAGAGAGCCACGACTCTTCAAGCAACGCAGCAAAAGCAAAGGCCGCACGCTTCAACGTCATCAGAGGTGCAAGGCGCCTGGCGGAGTTCAAGCCAGTTTCCATTGCCAAGAAAGGAGAGCCAGATTCTTCAAGCTCCACCGATTCTTGACTATTCCCTACAGTAGTTCGTCGACCTGCAAACCGCAAGTTTCAATATCTACCGAGCGAGCGAGCTCAAGCAACATCACTGTGAATCAAGCGTTCTAGATCTCATCGAGCTCAGGTCTCCGGTCTCCTGATCGCCTGCGCTCTCGGCCACCGAACCCCTACTTCGGCGAGGCTTGTACGCAACACAGCCTGCGCTCTTGCCTCGCTACGATCTTGCTCCCGGCCTGCGCCGAACTTGTCACACGTGATTGGCATGGTGCGCTGCTTCTGTTTGTCCGTCAACCCTAACACCTAGAATCCATGAAACCGGTCCTAAGCCAAACCTGATTCCAGGTTCCAGCCGATCTCGACTTCACCCGTGTTGTTGCAGGTGCTTTTATGTGCTTGTGCTGAAGCAGCTCGCATCAAGCGGCTTGTGCAAAGCCATGCATACTGACCAGCGACCGGCTTCTCTCTGTTGCAGCACTTGTACAGACCAAAAAGACGAAAGATGTAGCTTCTACCGAGCCTGATTGCGCACACCCTCCTGTCACGCGCGCGTTCCTTCTAACAGGCTCCGGCCAGACTCAAACCGAAGGTACCGAGAGCCAGAGAGCAGAAGAGAGAGTCATGAGAGTCTATGAAGCCCTGCAGTGTCCCCGTATGCGCTCGGGGTCCATACAAGCCTCCTATGCTGTGGAAGCGTTGTGGAAGCGAAAGCACCGCTCTTTGCATGCTTTCAGCAAGTCTCCTCGGGTGGGCTCACAGGAGGCAACCACTGCTCGACCGGTTTTGCCCAACCTGGGATGCTCAAAGGCTTCTCTTGCGTGGCTTTGGGGATTGACGTTGAGGTGCAAGGGGCTAATTTGGGGCCAAGGGCAGAGGTCAGGTTTTGTGCCGAAAGCCCAGTCATCCTCTGCTGCAACTATTCCCTGTGAAGCGACCCCCCCGCCCCCCCCCCCCCCCCCCAATATTTTCACGGCGATGGAACGCGACTCCTTCTCCTCGCTGCCGATGCGATCAGGCTGTCCGTTTGCAATCCTGAAGTTCAAGTTCAAGTTCAAGTTCAAAGCCGTATGACCCGACACGGATCTCTCTATATGCCTAAGAGCTTTACCTAACAAAGCAAAACTAAAGTCGCCTCGGCCTCTGGGCAACACACGCCCAAGCCAGCCCGCTGCGGACACGGTGCGCGCAAGCGTTTGCCATTAACAACAGCCCTTCTGTATCCCCCCGGCGCACCATCCTCATAATGAAACATTAACAGCCTGCAGCCGGTCTACAGCAAATGGAACCCAGTGGCATTTTCAAACAAACGTCCTGCGCGGTGCTCAAGCACACCTTGTGCCAAGGCTCCAGATGTGAAGGAAGCCAAACTCCCCACGCGAAATGCCTGTGCTAGCCTGCGCCAGGCCATGAACAGGTCGTGTGAGCCGGGTTGTGACTACGGCCTCTGTGGGGCTGAGGGCATTCGTCGTGCCAAACTGCTAAAGCCCGCCCTTTTTTTTACCAATCGTGCCCAACTGTGGCAGATATAATAAACCGATATAGAGATTTGGATAATGAAATGAATAGTAAATCTTGTACCTTAAATTATTAAGATAAAACATTTTCTGAAATCAAATAAAAATCTGATAAACTTCTGGATTGAATGAGAGAATGGTTGACTCAATTCTCAGCAAATTTCGAATACGGTGCGAGAGGCTTCATTCTTCTCTATAGAGAAGAGGATAGTGGTCCTTCACTCTTTTCTGCAGAGGAGAGGAGAGGGGTAGGATTATATGCCCCCATACAATTATTTTCCAAGAAGAGAATACTCATCCTTAGGATTCCATATCCCCAATCATTCACGAGCATCACCAAGAAATGAAAGAATTCGAAAAATCCCAATTTTCTTCATCCGCCATGCAATCTCCCGAAGCCTGAGCCTACACGACGACCCTGGCCAACCGTTGCCAACAACCATCCACGAAATGCCTTCTCAGTCGCCAACTCACCGAAAAGGTGTGAGGCATTGCCTCCCGCATGCACAGGGCGGCCGAAGTGAGGACTTCTTTGCTGGGAATGATGGCAGGTGTGACAGGTTCGCAGGTCTTGGGATGCAACAGCGGCGAAGCGCTTGAGCTACGCCACAGCTTGCGGTGGAAAGCACAGCGAGAAACAGGGCTTGGCCTGAAACCAGGATACTAGTTTGAGCCTCCGCACGAGCCTTGAATCTCTCCGTTTTTGCCTCCCATCTCTTGTGAAACCCACAACTGCGCCGGCCGCTAATCCACTTCGTCGGTTTCCTGTGCTGTGCTAAAGCCTGCAGCCCAGGATTAATCACCAAGCCCTTATGATAATATCCCCCATGCGTCTCCCCTGAAGCCGATGGGCATGTAGGACTGCATTTTTGCATTTGGTTCTTGCTGTTTAGTTATTTTGTATGACTGTAGTTCCCGAAACCCTGGCATTTCTCGCCTCGGAACCCGAGCTCCCGCGTAGCGGCAATGAACTCCTCCTCCGAGATCCTCTTGCGCTGCATGTCAGGTAGGTGGTCTCACTCGTAATAGGCAACCCACGGACCCTAAATTCTGAGACGTTTGAGGCTTCAGGGGCCCTTAGGGCCCAGCGGGGCCCAAAGAGGGCTCCTGAGTATAGAAGCTTATTGCATGGAGGCACGCAGAAAAGCTCGGCATCCCAAGGGGCCCCCTTACACGAACGTCAACCGGCACGCACCGGAAGAAAGTACGAGTCAGCATTCCGATCACACGATGTGAGGTCGGATGTTTATTGCATGTATTTCCCCAAAAGATACTCAATACTACACCCACCAAGATTTATATGGAACCAGTAGTAGCAACAACATAAACCAACCTGAGCCCTAAACCCTAAGTCTTGAAAACAACATCATATCTGGGCCTCAGCTTGCCTTTCGTGTTGAAGCACTTCACCCAAGCCTCAGTCACTCGGTCAAGCACAAGCGTGCCGATTTCTCTGAAGAGTTCATTCGTGTTCTGTCGGTTCTGCTGTGACTCATACCTCTTTAAAAAAAGCTCTTTAGCATGCAGGGCGCAAGGATCTCATTCTAGAATGTTGGCCTGGGGTCGGTATCAGAACGCACGAGCTGTCTAGAACTGCCAACAACTCAAAAGCAGGGGCTTGCGATCCAGCGGACTCTTCTGAAATCAGGATTTCAGGGACTTTTGCCAGAGGATTTAGCTTGTGGGCTTGGCTCTGTGCTTTCAAGAAGGGGGGCAACATGCTCACTCCCCAAAAGAACAATGGGTTGGAGGGACTAATAAGTGGTTTACGTCAAGATCATCTTATCATCTATCAGATCCTAGGCTTTCAAAAACTAGGCTGACGGCATTAGTTGGGGCATACATGCAGAGTCCCATTGAACCTTGCGTCAGCCCTGCGTCCCACACAGCACACATCGATTCTCGATCCCTCGATGCCAAAAGCCAGAAGATACTGTGGGCCTTCTCCACAGTGCCGAAAACGGACCAGATGGTTACGGACCTGAGGTGCGATTTGGGGGCTGTATTGATGAGCATCAAGGCGTTGCATCTCAAGGGTTTCCAGGTGCTGGCTCTATGCCAGGGTTACAACTATACTTTACTGCTGCAGCTCTCACAACAACAAACCGCGTGCGTCCGAAATCCAGAGGATCTCATGCTGGGCACGAGCTCTTGCAGCTGCGTCACAGGCTCGTCATCATCTCCGCCAGCGGCGGATCAATCTCTGCCATCCTTGAGCGGAAAGTACTTGGCGAGATCTCGGGTTCTAACTTTAAGGTCTGGCGGGCCTCCTGCATTCACGTGAGAGCGAACCATGCCACCGCCGTCCATCAGCCGTTGGGCTTCGGCTCTTGGGGTCCAGCATCCCGATCAACAGGGTTCCCCACAACCCAAAAGGTTCATTAAAGGCTATTAAAGGCTTCTCCAACAACTTTTGCAGAGTGGCGAGATGAAGCCCGATCGGTCTAAGTCCAGCGCGCCAAACAGGCGCCTGGCACCTGTGGATGGAGGTGTATTTTGTTTTCTGTGCGGGTTGGGGTTTCAGGTTCAGGGCTCAGGGTTTATGAGTCTTACAAGCTTCGGGAAGGGGGGGGAGGGGGGTATTTTTTCATTTGGAGGGAAGGTGGGTTTTAGGGATGGAATCCCGAGGTCAGAGCCATCTTCTCCATAAAGCAGTTGAAAGTCCAATAAGTGAATCCATAGCCCCCTATGTCCCACACCTCAAAGCCTCTCAACCTCAATGTAAGGCCCTGTATGCTAATCGGCACCTTGTTGTTGTTTTCATTTGTATTCTTATTACCATTATTATTACTGTTATTATTACTCGTATTCGTAGTCTTCTAAATATATCTAAATATCCTTGAAACTTCTCTCTAAAATGTCGTGCAGCCGGTCCTTGACCCACGCCCATGCTCTGGCAGCCGCGTATGAACTCGAAGAAGGACAGCTTCCCGTCCTTCGTCCACAAAGATCCTACACCCTTTTGGGCACTAGGGCACCCACGCCCCCCCCAAACCCACCACCACCTAACCCCGATTGATGAACACCTGTGGGCTCGAGGAGGCTTGTCAGGGGGGTTTGCCCTCTGAAACCGGGCAGAACATCACATAAAGATGCGGGCAGGCCCCTATCCCTCAAAGAGAACCAGGGCGAGCATACCCGGAGTGATGGGCTTTCAATGCGGTGTCCAAGCCCTCCGGTTGGAGCAAGTTTCTGAGAAGGGCAAAGCAACATGTCGTCGTTTCACGTGTCTCCCACAATGTCCTTCCTTAGCCCCTAAACGCCGGTTCCAATACGCACGGACCCTCAGCCCCATGAATCTTAAACCGAAGCAGTCGCACCAACAAACCAATGAAAGGTCACCTGGTTGGCGTCGATCACTTTCCAGGCACCTGGCCAGGTTTGATGGCTCCGGGCTTGCGCTTCGGCTGAGGCGGTACGGTTGAGCTCAGGTTCGCTTGAGGCCTCTTGCACTATCATGGTTCTCTACAAAGGCATCGGCGCAGAGATGCTCAGCTTTCTCTGCGTTCTTGTTGATTGTGTCACTGACGGTTGTGGTCCACAAGCGCTGTAGATGTCAATGAAACCTCTGACCCGAGGGTCGTTTCCGGACACTGCCCTCTTCTCCGTTTGGGGCTGCTGGTGCTTTTTTTGCTACCCGCTTAGCTGACTGAAAGTCGCACTGCAGGGTCTGTCCAAGGTGCTTTGCAGGGAAAAACCGCGAGGCTGCGAGTCACCAAGCAGGGGCTTAGGGTCTAGGGTGCGCTCGGCAGGTCGCTCGCTAGCAAGCGCGCCCCCCCCCCACCCCCTCCCCCTCCCATGGCCACTCGAACACCACCAGCGAGCCAGAACCGTAGCCCAATGCAAGCCAAGCCCACGGAAAACTCTTGGACGCTTGGAATGCTTGGGACACTTTTGGTCACTTGCAATGGCTGAGACTGTCGGAGCCCACCAAGTGGCAAAAGTTGCTGTGGATAGGCCCTCTAAATCTTCACGAAGTCGCATGGATCATGGCATGAGGGTTAAACAAGGAAGCTGCCCACACCGCTGCCTCAAGGAATCAGCTTGCTTTATGAAAGAGGGATGTGTTCTCAAGTTTAAGCAGACCCTTCCCCAAGGCGCACCTGCAATGGTTCCGTACTTCTGGATCAGGAGCTTGTGAAAATCCTGGCGGATCTGCTCCTTGGACCGGGAAGGTGGTCCGAATATATCGCACCATCCCCCTCAGCCGCATCGTCACCACACGAAAAGAAGAAGACATGGACTCACTTCATCAACACGGTCTCACTTTCAGTGAGAAAGAAATTGAGAACGCCAAAACTTGTCTGGCGTTGTAGAGATATGTTTCGGATCCCGGACGCAACAAGAACACAACAAACGAAGCAGCAGATGCCGAATGCAAAACAACTTCATGGCGTCTGAACTTGATTCTCTCCCTTAAACAGCGAGGGGTGGGGTTCATGGTGGCCCTTTCTGCTTACAAATAGTAACTTTGCAAGTGCAGCCCCTTGCACGCCGCGATTTTTTGTCACAGGCAAAGATCTGAATCCCGAAGTGTGGACGCGATGCGAAGCTTCCCGACAATTGTGCAAAAAAGTGCGACCCAACCATGAGCTGCAGCATCAGTGGCGCATTCGGCCGCGGTGGGTTGGGGATACTTGCCATTGCCGCCTGCTCCCCAGCCACCGGCACCTGGAGATGTCAAGGCGAAGCAGTGATGAGCAATATGGGGGTCAGGGCTTACTAAGTTTTCTCTCTTGCTTGCTTGCTTGCAGCGCGCATGACCTCCGAAGGCCGCCCCAAGGGGCTCGCCCTACCGAGTCAGTTGGTGTAAAAATGTGTGAAAGGTGGGAGTGTGGAAGCGTCGAGACAAACACAAGAGTTAACAAGGCTCAAGTGAACAGAACAACGTGTGTGTGCTCCCACTCCCGATGTGTGTGTCTCTCTTCTTCCTCTTCCTCTTCTTCTTCTTCTTCTTCTTCTTCTTCTTCTTCTTCTTCTTCTTCTTCTTCTTCTTCTTCTTCTTCTTCTTCTACGGGGCATGAGGGGGAGAACCCCCCCCGCGCACTGGGCGCGCCCAGGTTGCGTCCAAGTCCAGTCGGTGTGACACACTGGTCTAAAAGTCGGGGAAACGACGGATTGCGAAACAGGAGAGGTCTCCCCCCTTGTTCGAAACCACATACCCAGGAGAGCATTTCCCCCCGCCTACAACACAACAAGGGCAACTCAAAACGTTGCTCGGTTCCCCGGCGCAGCCAAGGAAAAACGTGCATGCCTATCTCATGTTGGGTCGTGTGACCCCGCCCTCTAATTAAGCCTTGGTCTGCAGCACTCTCTGGTTCCCCCTTCAGAGTTTGCTGAAAAGGGGGGATTCACTGATTTGACACGGATTGGAATCGTCAGTCTCTCTCTCTCTCTCTCTCTCAAAGTCTTTCAGTGAGCTTGGGCACTCTGCGAGATAAGGATGGCAGCAGCACATCACCGAATTCTGCGCAGAATTGTCGGGGCCCAGGCACAGTTTTGGGCTCTGAGACTGAAAATAAGGGGCTCGAAGAGTGCTTGGGGACTAAGTCTCGGCTCGGTAAGAAGTGGGGGGCCGGGCCAACCCCCAAAGAATGCCAAGAAGTGCGGCCCCCGGCATCTGCACACAATACAGTCTCCCAAAATGCCAGAAACCACCTTGCTGCATGTAAACCGAGACAGCCCTTGTTGCAGCATGATGCAACCCTTTCCCGCGCCGAAGCACCCCAGCTGCCACTCGGCATTTTCTTTAGAACTTCCCGGGGCGCCATGGCTGACTCAGATGTATCTTTTTCCCACCCCGTTTATTCTGAGATGATGGCTGTCGGGCACCTTCTGTGTTCCCTTCTGTGTTGCCCGAGGCCCTAGGCCTACCAGGGAGCGGTAACTACATCCCCGTCAGAGCTGACATGCGCATGAGAAAGGACACCTTCCACTTCTTAGGCGCGGCTCAGAGCTTTGCAGTCCTGCGGTTTGGGGCTGAGGCGTGAGGCTTACAGTTCCTGACCCTGCTCCGCGCATCTGAGCCAGGCAATCTGCGTGAGGTTGACCCACGTACAACCAAAAACACGTTGCATTGGCTGCGACCTGAAAGGGAGAAGCCCAAACGGAAATTGCAAGCAGCATGCTCTTGCCTCTAGGCTTTCAAGAGTGATGCAAAAACATGCGCATGCTGGTTTAGAGCTGTCTCTTTTGTCTTTTTAAGGAGTTGAGGGCTAGCCCCAGCCAGACTGAAGAAAGAACTCAGCAGCCTCCTTGTGCCTACTAAGCTTCTTGTGAAACCGCGCTTGCCACCTTCTACCCCCCATTCCCCTGATGGGCAAGACACACCCAAGGGCCCTAGGGCTTCTATGATTGGAATCCCAAAAAATTTGATTGCCGGAATCCAGAAAGGACACCCTATATATATATATGTAGAAATTCATATACGTATGCATGTACATGCTGTTTGTTTATGGGCACTCACTCACCAATAACAGCAGACCTCAAACCGAAGCCTTCGCCGAGCAAAGTTTCCACAAAGACTCCTTAAGAAGGTCAACCTTCGGCCCAGGAATACCTGGAGGAGACGCAAGCATGCCCTGAGTTTGAGACCTCTTGTGAGGCCTTAGACTTCAGGGGCCCCCCGCATTGCCGTGCTGAACTCGTAGACCCAGAGGAAGCACATGACGAAGCCGAAAAGAATCCACAGGTCGTGCGCCTCGCATCAGGGCACTGGGTGTAGCTTCGAGCCTCGGAGCGATGTGACCTAAATGCCTCAGAGCTACACGAATCGTTCTGGCTTACTCAGGAGACCAGCATGCTGCTCCACGAATCCTATTTTTCTAAGGTCCTCCAACAACCGCGCCAGAAGCCCCTCAGAGCTCCAGCTGCGAAACTTCAGCCCGACCTTGTACTCCACCTCATAGACGCCGTGCCCGACTGGCACGCGCTCGAAGTCCGAAAAGAAGAACATCAAGCCTGAGTCTGAGATTTCTGGAGCCGAATCGGGTGACTTGGAGACTTTTCGCTCTGAGCCGGCCCCCGCTAGGCCTTGTTCAATAGCCCCACCCAGGATGGGCGTTCTCAAAGGGTGGAAAAGGACAAACAGGAAAAGTACCATCCCACGCCTCTGAGACACCATCACCGTCCAGGCTTTCAAGCTAGAAACACATATCCGTGTGTTTGAGGTTGAGCACTCGTAGGGTCCAAAGCAATCGCGCGCAAGCCACTATATGTGGAGAGTATAACTTGGCTTTGGATTTCCTGGACTCAGTGGGGAAAGCTATTATGGCTGGCCCGCTGGCGGCAAGCGTCAGGTGAACCACCTCAAGATCCAAACGTGTCACCGCAGAAGACTTACTCCGCCGAACCCCTACCCTTTCGTTAAGACGAGGGCTCCATCTGAAGCATCGTTTGAGCCTGGTTACTTTCTCCCTTCCAGGCGAATAATGGGTCACAAGCACGTCGGTCTCACAGGCACAACTGCAAGAGCGCCCCTTGGAGCCCAGACCAACACCAAAGTTGATGAGCAAGAAGGCCTGCCAACACCAGCTGCCGTAAGTAGGTTGTAACACAACTTGGGCATAAAGCGACTCGTTTACGTCAGCTGAAAAATTGTTCGCTCCTACATAGCTGGGCGTACGGCAAACGACGATCGATTGTGCATGCAGGGTTTTTGGGGGTACGGTATTATTTAACATGCCTGGGAAGTATAGCGACTGCACAAACTTGCTGCAGAAGCCCGATCATGCTGCCCTTTTTTCCCGATCTTGCTTCGCCCCAAGCCTTCCCAACAAGATCTCTTTATGGTAGGCTTACTGCACTAAAGCTGCCAGGCACATGAATCGCTGGGGAACTGAACATCCGCCTTGAACCCAGCGGCGATCATGGGCTCTGTGAGGAATGATGGGATGTCCTTTGTCGCCTCGCCAACAGCCTGACTTAGGAACTTGTGGATGCGGGGATCGGCCCTGAGGGTGTTGCTACAATCTGAGTGGCCCCCAATGCCCCTCGAGTTGCTCCGCAAGCAAACGAACACAAAGATTCAAGCTACAGGTATTTACGGGGAAGCAATCCGCCGTGGAAGCCAACGACATCTCCATATCAAAGTCATCATGCTTTGCCTTCATAGCTTGGAAGGACATGTGGAGGTTCTCGCGCTGATCTCGGCAACAGCTGCAAGAGATTGTCAGTGTGGCATGCGCACACTTGCAATTGAAATGTCCTTCAATGTATGTCTTTTCTCGGCGAGGAGAAGGCTATGTGTTTCAACACGGAGGCATGAAGAGGGAGGCAGAAGGACGGCTTGGCTTTTCTGCCTCGTCTGTTGGCAGGTCTGTAAGGAAAGCTCCCTAAGTCAGCGTCTCAGATTCCGCTTCTTGTCACTTGAACGTCTGGCAAGCCTTTGCATCACCGACTGTGGGCGATTGGAAGAGCCCAAGAACCTAAACTCTAAACCCTAACCTCCAACTTCTGATCCCAAAGCCTAACACCCTGACACCGGAGGAGTGGAGCAATGGAGCAAGCGACCGTTGTGCGACGTTGCCAGCATCTACTCCTATCAGCTATGCCTTCGCAGGGCCTCTGATGGATCTTTCCGTGGAAGTTTAGTATTCGCTTTGCTGCAGCCTGTGTTGCACGGATAGAGCTGTAATGTTGCTGACAGGTGAAGAGGGTCGTATTTTTATTCCTCTTCATTCCTATTCTTCTTGTATATGAGACTGATATGCTCGTCTTTTGATCTGATAAGAGCTTCAGCTTGCCGACGTTGGCCATATACGAGCATCGGCGCAATGGCTTCCATGATGCTCAGGGCACGGCAAACAACCGTCACCTGGAAGATGATCACCTGTTTATGATGATCTATCAACCTTATCATATAGTAGAAGCTAGAGCAATCTAAAATACTAAAATACAAATATGGATGTCCTACAATGTCTCAGACAAACCTGGCTGCGCATGGGTTCAGGGTCCACGATTCAACTTATTCAACCTCCTAGATCTCAGCCGAAGAATATGGGCTGTAGTGCAGGCTACCTTATGCAGAAAAAGCCAAAACGCAACTGCTTGAAGCCCCTTCTTGCAAGTGCTGCAACATGTCGGACATGCCTGAGTATGTATGCTACTATCACACGTGCACGTGAATATCCGGAAAGTGTGTCGGCGAGCCCTGCTCCAAGGAGGTGTGGGATGGGATATAGGGGTAGCAGGCCGCACGTCGAATACCAACCTCATTGCAATAAGCACGAGAAATCTACAGGACCCAGCAGAAACGGAAAACGCTGCTTAAGAACGGAGCCAAAGGGCACCTCACGAAAAGGGGGCCCCGATCTTCGGAAATCTGAGGCTCCCGGCGACGGCCAAGGCAGAGGCGCCCAGCAAGAACTCCGAGTTGTCCATCAAACCCCAGGCATCTGGGCAAACAGGATCTGGAACTTCGAGTGGCCGGGGACTCGATTCTTTTCTGCTCTTTGCGAATCATACTGTGCCCGGTGCTTCTTCTTACGGCGCCAAAGATCAACCTTTTAGAAGCATGGCTCCAGCCTCCATATTTTCTGTTCGATCCATTCCGCGGTGCGGTGGCGTCCGAACTCACATTGGTTCGTGGCCATTTTGGAATCTTAATTCGCTTGGTGAGATACAATGGTTGATGTATGTCACTCTATGTCACTGTATGTCCTTTTCGTCTCACTCGTCTGATTCGCCCACCAGCGCAGATGAAATGCCGTCCAGGCCGAACCGCTGGGCGAGTGCTTGGAAGACCACCTGGAGCAGCGGAACACCGATGGTGATGATGCCTGTGGTCACCTGCGCGTGGGTGGCCTCCGCTCGTCGCACGTGATCCTGCATCACACTTCTGAGTCTGGTTGCGTCCCAGAAGAAAGTAAGCAGCGCCTCCCTGAGGTGTTCGGCAGCCGGGAACGACGCTGCCTGGCAGTCCGCCACGGTGAGGCTCTCCTCTACAATGAGCGTGTCGAGCTTCTTCACCAGCATCACCCACGCCAGGGGGCCCATCGAGTCTAGCATATCCACACCTGACAACCACGCCTGACGCAAACATTTGAAGGAGTATCGTCCTCTAAAGGCGGCCCTCTGCAAGACGGCAATGAACCACTTGCATGCAGGGTACTTTCCGTACTCCGTCGTAAGGCTGGCAAAGCCTGACATGCAGAGGGACTCCACGGCTGCTTTGTGAGCTTCAAACTTCTTGGCAGCCTCCTCCGGCGCGTTCTCCAAGAGTCCTTCACAGAGCGTTCTGACACTGTCCCCTGTACCTGGAACTGTTGACTGCTGCAAGTTGTCAACCGCTTGGAGCAAGTTCTTGATAACATCCTCCTCAGGAAGCGGATTCATTTTCTCAATTTTGCCCAGATGGGATCCGAGCGCATGCACAACATTGAAGGGCAACCCGTCCACATGAAGCATCTCCCGGGCAACCCGGAACCAGCGCAGTGCCACTTCGACCTTGACCTTGTCTCCACGTATGCTGCTTGCATGATCGTGGAGTGCGGTGATGACGAAATCCAGCTTCAGCATTTGCTCAGAGGTGGTGGTGTACTGTCGCAAGATCCGCCACAAGCCAGCCTCCTCGTAGTGGCGGACGGTGGCCTGCAGTAAGGTCTCTGAACTCTCCTGGTCAGGGGACATAGGGGACATGTCGACTGTGAGCGTGCCGGCTTTGAGGGGCTGCCGCTCAGCACCTTCCGCCATGGCGGCGCCCAGTGCAACACAGTCAGCACAAGTTGTCGGTTCCTGATCCGGGCCTGAAGTCGCACACTCAGGGACACCACGCATGCCATACTTTGAGAAGCCCCTGACACTCAATCGAAATTCAACCATAAGCTTCCAACCACACATTAAATGCAAGATAAGATGAACATTGCAACCCCTAAAAAAACCAAACAAGAAGCTGTTTAGGACTCGCCTCCCAACTGAAGCTCCATCTGCACTGCGTTGATCCTGAGCTTCAGAGCTCTCGGTTTTGCACTGCGTCTTTGGGCTTCTGACAGGCTGAGGGGTTTAGGGAAGTTTAGGGGCTTGGAAGCAGTTTGAGGGCTGAGCTTAAGGTTTGAGATGGTCTGAACCCCCGTGGTGCTGGGCTTGCGACGTGTGCGAAAACGGGCTTTCGGAGAACTCTCAGGCTGTCATGAGGGTCACGGGCTATGTCAAGCTCACCTGCCTCAAGTGCTTTGTGCTGGCCTTGGAACAACCATGCAAAGCAAAAGGGACGAGCAAGCAAGGGGCTGCAAAGGAGCCCAAAATAATGTTGCCGCGGCTGCTCTGAAGACGAAACTCAGTCGAAACTCCTTCAGAGGGCTCTGAAGGATAATATGGGACAATATGGGATGCTCTGCCGCTCTCCCTAGCATTTGAGCGGCTGGGGCGCAGGCACGGAAGCCAGGCCAATAAGTCCAAGCACCTTGGGCACAACCACTTGAACAGGTTATTCCAGGCACATAGCATCACTTGAAAGACATGCGCAGACGAGCTCCCAAACTGTGTGCATGCGCACACGCCTGTGCACACGCGCGTTCAAGATGCCATGGTTTATAGGAGCTCCGAGATGTGGGGCTTCTGGACTGCGGAATAGCACAAAGTGGGCCCTCACCCATGTCAACATGCAGTGCACAGGCATTCGGGCGCTGTTTCGAAGTTCAAGCTTTTGGTACAGACAAACACACCCGAAAATATTTCTGCAGCTACTGCGAGTCCCGAGGCCACCGCAACGGTCAGCGAAGTGGAAGAAATCCAAAAGACTCTCTCGGGGTCACTGCCTTTGGGAGAGAGAGAGAGAGGTGCCATGCCGGCTGCAAGTTGATTGTGTGGCCGGATCTGAAAGAGAACTTATACAGTTTGGGGCAGGCTGCCATCGGTGGCAGGAGCCACAACCCAACATTCGCAGATGTAAGCCAACCCGACACAAGATCGCAGTACTGGACTTTGAAGCCCCAACAACTCCTTTCATCTCGGGCCCAGGGCTCGGAGCCTAGGGCCCAGCTGCCCTGTGCTCCAGGGTTCTAGTAACTCCAGTATAGGAGTCGGGTCAGGGGATTCGTGATTCGAGGCCCCCGGCTGAACAGGCGCAGGTAGACAGCACCTGCGCTAGGCTTTCAGCTCACGTGACTGCCGATAGGGTAAGACACAGGCTAAAAACCAGCGGCCATCGACACAAATGAAGCAAAGGTTATCGAATGTTCGCTATGCGCTTTGTTCCAATCAGCAGCCCCCGAGAAGCTTCCGCCTGAGATTCCCCAGACTATCTACATCCCACAAGCCCTGTCCTGAAAAAAATGAAAGGCCTCAGAAGCTCTCTTAGCCAATTCCAGCACCCATTCACTTCCACTACAGGCCGAACACGTGCAGCTGAGACTTCGGCTCAAAGCCAAAACCACCAATCCGGCAAGGAAGAATGCGGGCCACCTCCGGTGCAGGGTACTTTCCGGGTTGAGTCATCAGCAGGTTGGGCTTGGGCTGGAGGCAGGAAACATGCCGTTATCGACGGATTCTGCTGAAGGCCATGCTCGAAACCTAAAGCAACATGAAACTTGATTCCGCTCAAAAACCACTGCTGACTGCTGTGCCTATCCCGGACAGATCAAAACGACACTTGGTGCACTCACAGCAACAACCCTTATCAGCTGGATGCCCCTGACTCTAGCATAGCTGCACAATGCCAAGTGCCAAGCGATTTGTGAATCTCCACCATAGACGCCAGGAAGCTGTCCCTTACTGGTAAGTTTGAATCGACAGCTCGTCTTTTTGCATGGTTGAGGACTATGCCATCCTTGAACTGATTTCAGGTATCAATCTCCAAAGAAGGTGTCGAAGAAACTGTGCAGCGGGAAGAATGGAAGTGGGGTGGTAAACAGCTTGTGCTGCACAAGCGTTCGCGACCATGTCTCAGCAGGATGGCGATGACAAAACGCAATGGCAAAGGAGGCTATGTGGTCAGATGTGGCCAGGCTGCGCGCGTCACTGAGCGACACCTCCTCTGTACCGTAAGCTCAAAGCAAAGCCTGAAGATGGAAACTCATCGGGAGCTCTTAAGTAACCCTCAACCTCCCTAAGCCGCAAGAGTCCCTGCTTGTCGTTGTCTTGACAAGAGTGCCGAGGTTTGGGCACACCGAGGCGGAAAGCCAGATTGTTCAAAATCACGAAGCGATCCGAGTCCTGCTTCCAGTCGAGGGCCCTTGCTATAGAAGCACTCAAAGGGTATCACGCTGGTTGCGCCACGCCCTGTTCTGCTCTGAGTCTATTCTCAAGTCTACGCCAAGTACTTGCACTCAATGTTGCACCCGCTCTAGTCTGGGCAACCTGGGTCAAGACCTGTTTGTCCGCCTGTTCAGGACCACGGGACTGTTTGGGAACGTCCACTGGGGCTCCTGTCTTGAGACAAGTCTTTTGGTCGTCATTAGAATAATGTTGGACTGACTTTAGTATAAGCAGGGTCTATAATCACAAGTTTCCAAAATTTATTCTGCGAACCGAGTTTGTTCCGCTATTATCATCAGTTTTTTCCGGGTGTTTTTATTTTTAAGGGTTTGAGTTTTGGGTTAAGGGCATACGCAGTAAGGCTTGAAGGTCTGAGGGCCTTGGGCTCCAGGAATCTTAAAGGATCTTAAAGGCTGGAAAGCTTCAGGCCTTGAGGTCCTAAAGGCTTGAGAGGGCGGTTTCGCCCCCCCCCCCCCGCCCCCTGCCCAATTGTTTGGGGGGGTCGCCGGGCCGTGCGTTTATAGAGGGTCCAAATTTGTTGGGGGGGGGGGGGGGGGGGGCGGGCCCCATACTAAAGACAGTGCAGCATGATTCCGTCTGCCGCGACCCTAAAACCAATTTGCCAGGCCTCACCCCGGCGCCTTTTAACATCTCCAAGCCTGTCTCTAGAGGGTCCCAATCAGCTTCCGGGAGGCCACCCAGCCGTAAGCCATCTTTGACAAAACCTGATAGAACCCCAAAGGCCCTCAAGCTAGCCCCGAAACCTTCAGAATGAGGTGCTCTAGACATCCGGGGTCCGTAGGGAAGCACACTTTGTCCGCAATCGGGATGGAGGGGTAGTCCGGCTGACCTGGTCACCACACGCTGTAGGCCTGTGTCTTGTGGCACCCTATCTCATCCGAACAGGGTGATCAAGAATAGGAGGGGCATAAGGTACCGGATTCCTGATTCTCCTGGGCTGCTGTTTCTTGAGCTGCTTCCGCCATTCTCTCAGTTGCTGGGCCCCTGTGACGTTCCATAACATTACCCTCCCCCCCGGAGGCTCCTAAAGGTCCCGAGGCAGCATAACTAAGCTTGGCAGCACTCAGGATGTCATGGTGCGGTGCAGGGCAAGCGCCACAACACACAAAAAAGTAAGGGCCCTCAGCCGGGCATGGCCTCGCAACTTTGATATGTGGCTAGAGCAATAGGGCTACTTTGGACCCAACAGAAGCATGCAAATGCAACGGCAAATGACGAGGCTGGGCTCCACACCCAAGTGCCCAAAGGCCCCCCGAAGCAACTCCGGCACCCGAGGCCCCAGCCACCCTCGCAAGCACTTGCCGCAGTCTGCCCCGTGATGCCTCGAGGAAAAAGCAGGAAAAGCAGCGTTACAGTTGCAAGTTGCAGGGTTACGGCCAGGAGGGGTTGACCATGTAGGGATTAGGGTTTAGGCTGGGAGTCTTTCGGGCCCTTGCATGGACCTCACGTGTCTGAAGACAGGTCGTTCACTGCAACCAAGAACCATTTTAACACCATTTGCTGCAAAGCTCGAAGTCGCATGAACCAACAGCGCATGCCCTCTGAGCTCCATGCTCGTTGGGCACTGGGCCACACACACCTGAGATGTCACTACACCAGCTGGGCTCGGAGGTTTAGGCGTCGGGCCCCTTTTGCAGGCTTCCAAAGCGGGGCCACTGAGGGGTTGTCTGCCGTGGCACTTTGGTTATGCCTCAAGCCAAAGGAGACTTTACGAGGGCTGCCTGTGAAGGCCTCAACCATATTCAACGCAAACTCATTCAGAGGGCTCGAAGCCCAGGACACTTCGGCCAGAGAAGGGAGAGCCCAAAAAACTAAACAAAGCATCCCAAGTCCCAGGACCCTGAACCCCCACAGATTCCGAGGCTGTGGCCAGACTGGATCTTGAGGGCGAGATGTCCTAAGCAAATTCTAGCTGAGTAGGTACAGAAATCAGTTGTATATATATATATATATCTATGTAGGCATCATTTTGTATATCTATGTATACATACGTTTTTTTGTATCTGCAAAGGCTGGAGGAATTTCAGATGGGCTAAGGCCAGGTGCTGTAGAGGTACAACTGGCTTGTTTGCTGTGGCATTTGGGGTGTAGAACCTCGACTGAGTATGACTAAGTGACTAAGGTAAACGCTGCCAAGCCGGAGGCAACGAAGGGTCAGGATGCTGAGCAGAAACATTGGCGTCTGATTCGTTTCTACGCACAGACGAGCCTCAAACGAGCGAATGAGGATCGTTGCCGTTGTTGCTGCTGATTGCTGCTGCGGGGGTTGTTGTTGCTGCAGTAGTTGCAGTTGCTTTCTTCCCGTTGTTTGTACTGCAGTTGGTTGGTGATAGAGGTATGAGTTTTGCATTGATCATGGGCCTTCTTGTTGCTACGAGTTTCAACTAGTATGAGTTACATTGCATTGAAATGCTTGATGTCCTGATCTTACAGCTAGATGCTAGTTCGTTCATACTCAGACTCAGATTCGAGGACCC